CACTCTTTCAATTGCTAAGTAGTATCCTGTGGCTTGTGGGCCGCAGTCTGGTTAGCCACTCATCTGTGGAAGGATTATCTGGGCAGACTCCAGGTTAGAGCTGCTATCAGCATTCTTGTGTAGGCTTTTATGTGAACCTAAGTTTCCAAATTAGAGCCCCTCCACTCAAATGGCAGCCCTCAGCTCCATACCCCGTTTGTCCAGTACAACCCAGATTTTTGCACCACTGGCTCCTGCTCAGGGCCAAATCATCTTGGGGTGGTTATTAGATACCACCCGGCCTCATGTCTCCATACTGCTCTGTACTGGCAAAAGTATAAATATATGTAACTATAGCAAGTCCCTGGTGCTATTATCTCTATACTTTTCATAGAGACACAGGCAGAGGGAGAAGCAGGCTCCACGTGGGGAGCCTGACGCAGGACTCGATCCCAGGACCCCAGGATCACGTCCTGAGCCAAAGGCAGATGCTCAACCATTGAGCCACCCCGGCGTCCCAGACATCTGTTTTTATTGGCAGTATCTATTCATTCCCTACTCCAAACGATGTTTCTCCTCCCTCCTTCCCTTTGCCCTCTCCCATATTAGTCAATAAAGTTACCTTTTTTGTATTTAGCTTTGTACGATTAAATATACATATACTTTTCAGTTTTAAGTGATATTATTAGAGTTCTAGCTATTATACATATGGCATTAACAAATTTACTCTAGTTCTGATGTTTTTCTTTTTTCCTTTTTTTTTTTTGTCAGTTGCATCAGTTCCATAATATTCATGCCTCAACACGTCCCTCATTCGTTTCACCATGGTTCTGTAGACAGCACGTGTTCAATGCTCATCCACAATTCCTTGGCTGTGGTTGCCTTCATTATCTCCTGATTACCTGAAATCCATTCCTTAAGAGTTATTTTTTAAAAGATTTTATTTTTTAGGCAATCTCTACACCCAGCATGGGCCTTGAACTCACAATCCTGAGATCAAAAGTCCATCGACTGAGCCAGCCAGATGCCTCTCTAATAGTTACTTTGAAATGGGCTTAAGAAGGAATAATACCCTTTAGATTCCTGCTTATTCGCAACTATTTGTCAGCTCCATCTGGACACAAAATCCTTTCCTGAGTACCTAAAAAATACTGAGTTGTTCTGCATGGTTTCTATGGCAATCTCAGTGATGTGGAGCAGCATTTACACACTTTCTTCCTCAAATCATGACTACCTTCTAGTGTCACTGACATTGGTGTTCGAGGGTCTCGCATCTTTTGCATAATATCTAGATTGAGGAAATGGGAAGATACATTCACAAATACTGTGCTCATTCTGAAAGCCTCTGCTATGTGACCCTTAAAAAAAATAAAAGGATGTGCCTTTTCCTATAACGGGGGATCGGACACCACTTTAGCATGAATAGAAGCCATACCTGGAAATTCCAAATAGATTATCTTGTTCAGTGTTTCAGAACAACCCTTAACATAGATGACATTATGCAAATCATACAGAGTAGTAACCTGAAGTATGTAAGTTAAGAACTGACTCAAGGACACCTGGCTTGTAAATAGGAAAAACAGGGCAGAGGGGAAAGGCAAGTTCTAGTTTACTCTACCGCAGTTGTCTCCTACAAATACCTCGGAGTCAAGGTAATTCCATTCCTGGGACAATGTCTGTTCCTCTAGGAAGCAAGTAAACGAATAGACCATTCTCAGTATCCTTTCCCACAGATGAGCCTTGAGAATCGTCAACACCTCAGTCATTGAAGGGTGGTCCCCAAGCTTCAAAATATCTCCCCACCGTATTTCTTACACACCTACATCCCACCATTGATTCTTTGCATCAGTCATTGTACACCTCAGATTGTCTCTTAAAATGTATGTATTTCTAAGTGGGGTGGCGTATTAAGATATTTGTGTTCCTAATACATTGTTATGAAACACCAGGTATTAGAGATTAACCTGAATGGAAATCCTATAGTAGATAATGTCTACTGGTAGGACTGAATTTATTACCTATTTGCTGTGATTTGAAGGATACCAGGATGGGGACACTCTGTATCAAATGTATTCACTTCACAGACATCTAAAATTCTCCCCCCAGCATGATTTTTAATTAATTGAATTTAAATTAAGAATTGCCCTACTTCAATACAGACAATATTGTACTATGATCATCAAACTTGCTGAGACGGAAACTTTATTATCACAACCACTAAAAAGAGGATAATTACGTAATGTGATAGAGGTGCTAAATGTTGCGACAACAGAAATCATATAGCAATATAGAAATGTATCACATTAACATGTACACCTTAAATTCGCCCAATGTGATATGTCAAATGCATTCAATTAAAAAGAAAAAAAGAACTGCCCTACTTCAGGGCTCATTTTATTAAAAAATGCAAATAGTGCCTCATGAAAATTTTAAGGGGTTAAGTCACACCTGCTTTGCACAAATTACCTTAGAACCCATTCATTCCTAACTTGAAGTGGGGAGGGGGTGGGGGGCATGAGAACATGAAATCACAGCTTGCTTGGCCTCCTGGTTTCTCTTAGGGTGGCTTTAATGATGTAGGGATCCACGGGGCTGGGTCCCTGCCCGGGCGGGAACCTGAGTGGAGAAGGCGGGCCTTTCCACCTAAGGGGAAGCATGGAGGCCATGGACTTGGAAGAACTCAGGAGGGTCATTGCTTGGCTGCTGGAAGGCCCTTCTCGCAGGGAAGCAAGCCTTCCACTAGGACAGCTTCTAGGGCGCCGGCAGCAGGTGTAGTTCTCAAAATGGCCATCAGATGGCAGCCTCCGCCAAATTACCGAAGCTCGTGTGTTCGCCGGAGCCAATTGCGCAGCAGGGAAGGTAGTGGAGGCCCCGGGTCTGGCCCTTTGGTTTTGCAGCCCAGGAACTCCAGCCAGACCGAGCCTACGCAGCCTGAAGCCACACATCATCAAGTCGGTGGCAGAGCTGGGGGTCCCGCGACCTCCTGCCAAGAAGTCCGGTCATCTCTCTATAATGGGAACCTGAAAGGAGTGCTCCTCACCTCAAACAAAATGAAATAAAGGATAGAAAAGACAGAGCAGGCCTGTTTGAATACTCACATAGTCGTGTGAGCTTGAGTACAAAGCCTTGCAGGCCAAACCTTGAGCCTCCAGCAGATTTTTGTTAATATATGTGCTGCCGAAGCGAGCACCAGATTTTTGTTAAATGCTAGGCAGTCACATTTACCAAGGGCTTATTTGCTTTAAAAAGGGATGGAGAAAAAAAAAATAAAAAGGGATGGAGGAGGATACTAGTCCTTTATCCTGCAAGACATTTGAAATACCTTCTCCTATTCCATAGGCTGCCTTTTAGTTTTATTGACTGTTTCCTTTACTGTGCAAAAGCTTTTTATCTCGAGGAAGTCCAAGTAGTTCATGTTTGCTTTTGTTTGCACCCCAGTGTTTATGGCAACAATGTCCCCCACAACGGCCAAAATATATAAAGATCCCAGATGTCCATCCACAGATGAACGATAAAGAAGATGTGCTATGTGTATGTATGTATATATATATATATTTATATATGTGTATAGGAATATTACTCAGCCATCAAAAAGAAGGAAATCTTGACATTTACAATGTGGATGGAACTGGAGGGTATTATGTTAAGTGAAATAAGTCAATCAGAGAAAGACAAGTACCATATGATTTCACTCATATGTGAAATCTAAGAAACAAAACAGATGAGCATAGGAGAAGGGAAGGAAAAATGAAATAATATGAAAATAGAAAGGAAGGCAAGCCATAACAGATGCTGAACTCTAGGAAACAAACTGAGGGTTGCCCGAGGGGAGGGGAGCAGGGGGTGAGGTCACTGTGTGACGGGTATTAAGGAGGGTACCTGAAGGGATGAGCACTGGGTGTCACATGCAACTGATGAATCACTAAATTCCTGAAACTAATAAAACACTATGTCAACTAAATTGAATTTAAATAAAGAATTTTTAAAGATTTATTTATTTATTTATTTATTTATTTATTTATTTATTTATGATAGACAGAGAGAGAGAGAGAGAGAGTCAGGGAGAGACACAGGCAGAGGGAGAAGCAGGCTCCAGGCCGGGAGCCCGACGTGGGACTTGATCCCGGGACTCCAGGATCGTGCCCTGGGGCAAAGGCAGGCGCCAAACCGCTGAACCACCCAGGGATCCCCTAAATAAAGAATTTTTTAAATAAAAAAATAAACAATAAAAAGGAGTGGGGGAGGACAAAAGAGGGGAATTCATAGACACAAGATCCTGGGGAAGTAGGAAGACTGCAACCAGGGAAACCAGAGAGATCCCTGGAGGAGATGAGCTTTGAACTAGGGTTAGAGGCAAGGAGAGGAGAAAAGGAGACAGACACAGGATGGTTAGTATGAACCAGGTGGAAAAAAAAGCAGGAACAAGCCCACCTTGAAGCAGGGCTAGCCCTGTGCAAATGGCATGTGAGCCCAGCTTCCCTTGAGCCTCGGGCCTCCCTCTTTTCATGCTTGCTCCTCATAGGACGCCCCCACCAGCCCCATCCCCACCTTTCTGAACTATCACTGGCAGAGAAATTTCCCTCCAGCCAAGCTTCAACATCACATGGTGATTTTAAGTGATTGCTCTTTCCCAGGAGAAGTGGGATTTTAGGCCAGTCTGTCATTTTGGGTGAGAGGGTACTGCTCACCCTGAGAAATAGTATGGGGAAGAAATTACCGAGAGGAAGATGCTGTCCAGGTTGCTTGTTTAAAGCAGAGAGTCTCTATTATCACCCAGAAGGTCAATGGGAGGGGAAATGGGTGAGTAAGGCATGCAGAAAGAGGAGTTGAGATCTGAAACTGGAAGTGTGTGGATGTACCTCTGTGCCTAGGACAGTAGGCACCGACTATGTGTTAGCTGAATTAGCAAGTTAGAAGGCTGTTGCAGGTCCTGAAGGAAAATGAAGGCTTAGCCTCCTGTAGTGGCAAGGTGGCCAGGTTTGAGGGTGAGTGAGGAGATTTTTGATGTTGCGGCTGCCCCGAGAGGGTGCACCATCCTAGAAGTACTGCGATACAGGTTGATGAGTGAAGTGGACAGAGCCAGCTCCTTTTCCACCTCCCTGCTCCAAAAATCCATGTAATATGTTGTCTTCAGATACAGGACATGTCAGATAGTAAACTGATAAGAACAGATATTATACTTGATCTTAGCCAAAAGGCTGAGAAACATTTTTTTTTTAGTTCAGTTTTGATCAAATGCATTTGAGTGAAGCTATTGAGTTGTTTGTTTGTTTGTTTTCAGGGCTGGACAGTAAGTTTATACACACCCACATCAGGTCTAGGAGCCACAGTGGGCTCCAACTCATTTACAAGCATTTCATCACAGCACCTGCTTGGGAGCCCGCAGACGCAACCAGGCTGTCCCCGTACAGGTCCTCACATCGCAGTAGTGCTTTATTAAAGGGAAGGTTAATATGCAGCTTTAGGAGAGGGAATTTTTACAAGTATCAAAAGGAGCTCAGGGAAAGAATCCGAGCTCTGAGATCAGTGTACAGAAGATAATAGAAGCCGTGGGCATAGAGGGGGGTGCCGCGGGGGAGGGAGTGGAGGGAGAAGAGGATGCCTTGCGAAATGCCAGCATTTAGTGGACAGTGTTGGAGGGACCAGAGGAGTGACAGCACTTCCACTTCTCTCATTCCACATCTAGGAAGAAAGTGAAACAACACAGGGGTCCTAGAAGTGGTAACTGATGATCTGAAACCCATTCAGTGTAAACTTCTTAGTCCTTTGCACACTGTGACTCCAACTGACTTCTCTCCATCACTCTCTCCTCTGCGCACACCCTCTGCTCTTGCCGAACTCGGCTCTCTACTGAACTTGCCCTGAGCGTTCCCACCCCTATGCCTTCGCCCAAGCTCTGGAATATCTTTCCCCCACAGAAAATGCTTTAAGATGGAGGAGGGTGCAACATAAACTTCTGGCATGCAGCTAAAGCAGTGCTTAGAAGGATTTTTAGCAGCAAGTGCCCATATTAAAAAAACAGGAAAGATCTGAAATCCATAACCTTCTTAGAACGCTCTCCTTCCTCCTCCCAAGCTCTTCTGCATACCACATGCGCGATAATCTATTTGAAGTGATCCTGTCACCACCACCTGTAGTGACAGTTAATTTTTGGCTGTCCAGCAGCGGAACACCCTTCCCATGTTGGAGAATTCCCCTCCTTCCGACTCCTGATTGGATACAGAGCCTACCTCCTGCATTGTTTGTGGCCACACATAGACTCTTGTTTCCTTAACTTGTCCTTTGGCTCCTGTGGGACCAGTCTAGTTTGGGAGCCTCAGACAAGCCCTGTTCCTTCTTCCTTTGCAGGAAGGAAGTTGGTGACCTCCCCCTCAACTTTTCCCTGTTTCATTCTTCCGTTTTTCCTTCAGGGCTCAGCCTCAGGGAAGTCGTCCAGGACTTCATGACTTCACAGGCTAAGGCAGGTTTCTTTGTTATACGCTGTTACAGAATGTGGTGCTTTCTCTGGGAATCACCCACCCCTTGTGCTGGTTACTGCCCATCAATTACTGGGTGCTTCCATGAGGTCAGGCACTGAAGGATCAGACTAGGGCCTTTAAGGATCCTACAGTCCCCCTGGGGACCATAGGTGACACTGTGGGGTATGTGCTGGAATAGCCCCCGAGTGGACAGCAGTGAAGTGCTCCTGGGGACAGTAGGCACTGGGGTAGGGGAGGACAAGGAACTGATGCTGCCGCAATGCAGCCAAGCTTCATGGAGGGGCGGAGCCACCTGGGCCAGGTCCTGAAGGAGTCCACCAGGAGCAGGACGCTGGGAAGTCCTTCTAGGCAGAAGGAACATTTATGCTCAAAGCCACAAAGTGAAAAGCACATGGTAGACCAGTGAGATGCAGGGTGCCTTGGTGTCACTTGAACAGAAGGCAAGGAAAGAAAGAGGGAAAGAGGAAGTATGCCAGACACAAGCCTGGAAATATGGGTCGGGTCTGATTCAGAAGAGCCCCAGATGCCATACTGACTAGGAGGAGCTTAGATTTGGTTGCTTAGGCCACAAGAATTGTTTTAAGCAGAGGAATTGTTTGAGATACCTAATTCTGGCTATAGTATGAAGGATAGATTGAGGATTGAGTGACATGCAGATCCATGTGGAGGCCATGTCTTTATAGCTCCAGAGAGAGAGAGAGAGAGAGAGAGAGACTCAATACATGGTTGCGAATGAATCAATGAAGAAGCAACCGTAAAGCAGGAGTGTCTGTGATAAGTGCCATACGGGGGAGATCTGGAAGAGAAAATCAAGGATAGGTGAGCTTAGACATGTTCTGAAGTAAAAGCGATGCGGTTAAGTAATGAACTGCATTAGTTGTTGAAAGGAATGACTAATTTAGGGCTAGGTTTGGCTGATGGTGACAAATGGACTTGAAACAGAGAGCCCAGACAGCAGTCCAGAGCCAGTACAGCGCTCACATATGGTCCCTTCTATCCTATTACTCAACATTCTCAACACATGGCTTCATGACGTGGTCCCAGATGGGTGCTCCAGCACCAGCATCACACCCTCCTTGTAGGGGGTGGACTATGGGGAAAGGGACACGGGCAGGGCACGCCAGTGACGTGTAAGAACTTACTTCCTCGAAGTGTTTTCCCTTCCAAGACATTAGTAGATATTTAGTCATATCTAATTGATGGGAGTTTGGCAGGTGTCTTTGTTCTGGACAGCTAAGATCTGGAAGCTCTATGGCTGAGCAGTAAGAGGCACCAAGAATGACTCTCATATCCATTGGGTGGCTATGGCTGAAGAAAGAAGGAGGAGTTTTAAGGAAGTTTATAGGAAGCCACAGAGTAGAGATGAGTAAGTTTTGTTTTGAACATGTCTATTTTGGGCAGCCTATGGGACACAAATTTGAAAACATATATAGAAATATATAGAATATATAGAAATGGGTCATTTCCTCTACTTACACCATGTTCCTTGAGGGTGGAGATTCTTACTATTACATGTCCATCACGCCTTACAGATGTCCAGAATGGATAAAGATTGCAGGTAAGTTAAGAAAGTGAAAATAACAATAACAACTAAGGGCTAATTTTTTTTCTTTAAGTACACATGGAGAGACTAGATATAGACCCCAGCTGGTGTCAGCACTGGAAAGAACTTTCTCAGGTAACTTTTGACAGGAAGGCACCCTAGTATATACCTCATTCAGAATCTACTGTGAACACACACCCATGTTAAGTACAGAGCAGAGGAAAGCTGCTTCTAAAATGGGGTGTTACATTCCAGGTGACTTTGGTGCGGGCGATGAGGGAAGAGGGGAGATCTTGGAGATCCAACTTTGGTGTGTGTGGTGGGGGATGCGGCTACTGCAAGTCACCAGCAGGCAGTGTCACAGCTCTGCTGGCCACAGATCTCCCTACTTCCAGGCTGAGGGGCACTGCTGCACCTGCTTTTTTTTTTTTTTTTAGATTTTATTTATTTATTCATGAGAAACACACAGAGAGGCAGAGACATAGGCAGAGAGGGAAGCAGGCTCCTTGCAGAGAGCCAGAATTGGGACTCGATCCCAGGACCCCGGGATCAGGACCTGAGCCAAGACAGATGCTCAACCACTGAGCCACCCAGGCGTCCCAGCTGCACCTGCTGGAAGTTGAGGGGAACTTGGCATTCTCTGAGAGTTCTCCAGGGCTGTGAGAGACGCGGCCAAGGATCTAGACGATTTAATCCAGTTTTGCCAAAGGGGGTTTACAGTGAGCAATTAAGGCACAGTTAAAGAATTAATCACTAATGAGTCATTAACTCTGCCCACTATTGTACAGTTAACAAGCTGAGGCCAGATTATTGGAGCCGGTTCCCAATTAAGGGGCCGGCATAGGCCGCAAAGCACACCATCCGCCCCTTGGAGGGTGGGGGCGCCAGTGGGGCGCTGCGGGGCCGCCTCTTTCCCAGGCGAGTTAGGACGCGGGTGGAGCCCGAGGCGGTGCGGAGCTCGGGCCGGTGCAGAGCTCGGGCTGGCCGCGCAGAGAGGAAGTGCCGGCTTTTTCACTAATTTTATCTTCCCGGGAAATCTTTTCCTCCTGGAGGCCTGAATTCTATGGGTGCAGTAAGGTTCTAGGAGCACTTTGGGGAGGCGGAGAAGGGCGTGCGGCGAGGCTGCGGGGCGCGGCGGGGGCGGGAGGGTGGCGGGAGCCGGGACGCACGACTCCCGACGTTAGGCCCCGAGGTCCCCACCGGACACCCCCGCGGGGCTGACGCGGAGTCCTGGGCGTCCCCGCTTCCAGAATCCCGCAGCAACGACTTTCAATTCACCGATGAACTTGGCTGAGAGAGGGGAGGATTGGGATCCCCTGGCTCCGCTCTTCGGATTCTGGATTAGCTGGAGGTGGGAGTGGGGGTCGGGCAGGGACTGTCTCCCCTGCTTTGACAGTTCCCATCTCCTAAACAAGGGGCTCTGTTTAAATACACGCGGGCCACCCCAGGCCGTTGCTGGCCAAAGCCTGCTCCTCCCACCCTCCCGGTGTCGCCCATTCCAGCCCCATCACCCTCCCGGGCAGCTGGGGCGGGAGCTCAGACCCGCCAGGCCCAGAGCTGGGCTTCGAAAGCCAGACGGCCCATCCGGATGCACGGCCTGGGCGGGCCTGAGGCCGCAGCGCGGGCCCCAGGACACGGAGCAAGGAGGCCCCGCAGGTCGGAGCGGCCCCTGGACCCGAGAGGCGGAACCCTGAGTCCCCCCGCGTCCCTGCGGGAGAGAAATAGCCCCACCGCGGATCCGGAGCCGTGGCGCGCACTGTGATCACGACACCCCCGTGGGCAAGAAGAGACTCCTTCAAAATGAGGAAAACGCGAAAACGGAAACAGCTCCCCACAACGCGGGGGCTGCGGCCCGGGGGGCTCGGCTCTGCGCTCCCGGACCTGGGGATGGGCCCGTGGTGTGCGCGCCGCACCTGCCGCGGGGCGCCCCGGCCGCCCGGCCCGCGCCTGGCTCCGCCCCCTCTCGGAGTGGCCCAATCCGAGGCGGCCTTTCCCGCCCTGGAGCCCCGCCCCTCGGCCCTGGAGCCCCGCCCCTCGGCCCTGGAGCCCCGCCCCGCGCGGCTCCCCGGCTGGTACCCAGGAGCCCGACGGAGCCATCCAGCCCCAGGCTCACCCGCTTTCCTCCCGCCGCAGGTCGGACGGAGCATGTGTCGTCCTCTGGGGAGGAGGCTCCCTAGGCCTCCCTCCTGACTGAATCCGGTCAACCCGAATCGGTGCCTGCCTCGAGACCCAGGTCGCTGTGCTTGGGCCTCGGTGTCTTTTCTCCCCAACCGTGTTGAACCACTCCCAACTGGTCCTTCCTCCTCTTCGGTGCACCCCGGGAGGGTCGCCTGAGCCAAGCCCGCAATCTCCCTATGGAGGACTCGAGAACTAAGTGATGCAGGCTTACTGGGGAGACCTGCCCCCCCCTCCACTCCCGGAGTCCCTGGAAGACTCGTGGCCGCCCCAAGTCATAGCCAGCACAGTCTAGTTTCTCGGAAGCTGCGACCACCTTGGCCGGCGCCTCTGCAAAGTGCTTTCTGTAGCCCTGAGCTTGAGCGGCATCCCCACTCCCCCCCCCACCCCACCCCCACCCCCCCCACCCCCGCGTTTCAGGGTCCTCTGGGGCTGTAATGCTCTGCAGCGCGGCCTTCTCACCTCCAGCCGGAGTTATGTCCTGACTTCTGGGCTCTCCTGCGTCTCTACTCCTGGAGCTCTTAGAGCTGCTCTGTTAGGCAGCCCCTAGGAGTGGGGGGAGAGGGGCGCTGGGGCTGATGGAAGCCCAGGAAACACCGCTGCCATCCATCCCTCGGGATCTTAATTCCCAATGTGGCATAATGAGTTATCCCTCAGAGTTGAAATAGGAGCATTATTCAGCAAGTGTTTCCCAAACACTGCGCTATGCTTGCGAACTGACCAGAGCTTCTGGCTACTCCAGCTCCAAGGCTTGCAAGAGGTTTTATTTGAGGCAACCTCCCTGTGCCTCAGTTTCCCCATTTGTAAAATGAGGCTAATCGTATTTTCCTGGCATGGGCCTTGTGAGGCTTAAATGAATCAGCAGGTGTAAACTGCTTGGAAGAGTGCTGGCACATAATAAACTCAAAGATCATTAGCTGTTAGTATTTTGATCATTTTTCAAGTATTTGTCCCTGAAATTCAGGTATGACCCACCCTGCTGGTTTCTAAGGAGATGGTTTAGAATATTCATTCTCAGACTAAGTAGTAAGAGAGGAGAAAGAAGGGATGGAAAGCTGCAGGTGATAAAGAATACAAAGAAAAATGGCATAACGAGGCAAAATGAGTAGTCATGGAAATGATCTAAAGGAAGCAAAGAAGATGCTGACGGTGGGCTGGGCAAGTCAGAGGTGCCCAGGACTGTGGGAAGGAGAAGGAAGGCAGAGCGAGTACTCACCAGTGAAGTTGGAAGTTCTCGGAATAAATCCCAGTAAAGGGAGGGCATTAAAGGATGAAAGGGGATAGTGCAAACTGAAGGAAATTTACTTACACATCCACCCTGTTTGCCTATTTTCCCCCACGCCAACGGCTAGTATCTCTTGGCCAATCCATCCATTTCCCAACGAACGTCCTTGTGAGGGAAAGTGACAGTATCACTTGCTACCTCTTGAGGGAAATAACAGATCCAGGAAACCCTTACTGGCCAGCCTGCTCTATACAAGGCGCCACGTGAGGGTTTAGGGGCACACACCCCGGTCATGCTGTAGCATCTCAAGGCCCTGATGGCAAGGCTTGAATCCTGTGATGACACTTCCTCTACCCCAGCCTCGGGATACTCCTCCTTGGCCCAGGTAGGTTTCAGGAACCCAAGAGCAGGTGGACTGGAATACCGTGGGATGGGAGAGGCGGGATCACAATCTGCGTTGCCTCGCGTGGCGTCCTTGGGTTCGTTTAGATAAGGAAAGGGGGCTGGAGCGGCCCACTAACGTGCTAAGGCACGACAAGCCGCAGTGGGTGGATGATGCTAAGGCGCGGGCCGCGTCTTTCCCGGCGCACTCTAAGCCACGAGGCCAGAGAACCTGCGCGGCGGGAACCCGGGTTACATCCAGGACCCGCTGCAGAGACCGCGCTGCCCAGGGTGGGACGCCCCGAGAGCCGGCGGGGGACCTCCGGGCTCCCTCCCGCCCCAGAGCCCGCGCCAAAGAGCAGCGGAAACTGTCCACCACGCGCCGCAAGCACGTGTCCCCCGGGGTCGCGGCGCAGACAACTCCAGGACACGGCCCCAGGGCGCAGCAGCAAACCTGGCCGGCACTGAACGGAACCGCGGGGCTGGGGGGTCAGCGGCGAGCTGGGGGGAAGCGAGAGACGCTCGGGGACCAGAAGAGGAACAGTCGACCTGCCCGAGTCCTCGGAGGACTAAGTCATCAGTCCTGGGTAGCAGGCGCTGGCACCCAGCCCGCGCCCTGGACGGTGATCCGGGGGGCCCTGGGGCAGCGGCGGGCTGCAGACGGGGAGGAGGAGCCACAGCTCTTCCCCGGGGCAAGGGGGTGCCGACGCTTCCTATCGGGGTCAATCCTTCGAAGGAGCGGCCGCAAGCTTGACTAGCGGGATGCAGAGGGCCTGGGAACGCGCAGGCCGCTGAGCCTGGGGCTTGGGGCCCCTGGAGCCCCGCACGGTCGCCGCTCGGGCACGCGCCAGGGGAGGGCGCGCGGGTGGAGTCTCCGCGGCAGGAGGATCCGCAGGGGGGGCCCGGCTCCTGCACGACCCTCGGCTTTCTCTGACGCGCCCCGGGCGTCGCCGCAGCCCCTCCCGGACCCCCATCCGCACACGGGCCAGCGCAGTCCGGGGCGCCCTTCACCGGAGTCAAACCAGAACAAGGCAATGTTTAATTCTCCTCCCTAGTGCTTCAAACTACGCATACACAGCGCCTCGAACTCTATTCCTCGGCCTCCCCCTCCTCCTTTAGGTCCCCCGAAGCCCGAGGGCCCGGGCCGCTCGCCCCCCACCCCCCCGCAGCAGCAGGGCCGCGGGCCGCGGGGACGCAGGGGTGGCCGCAGGGTCTCCGCACGGCTGGTCCTGCCCGGCGAGCCAGCTGCAGCTCAGACGGCTCGGGAGGGCGGCCGCGCGGGAGCCGGAGGTGGGGAGGGCCGCCGCCCGGTCCCATCGGGTCCCCGGAGCCCCCTAGAGGGCCTGCCACGGCTTCCCGATGGCCTGGATGTGCTCCTTGGCCTTCAGGCGCAGGGCCGCGATGCTGCTGTTGCGCGGGTCCGCCTCGTCCAGCGGGAACTTGTCCCCGAAGCCGAGCGCGCACGGGTAGGCGGGCGGCGGCGGCGGCGGCGGCGGCGCGAGGGGCTGCAGGCCGGGGCCGAGCGGCGGAGAGTTCAGGAAGGGCGGCGGCGGCGGCGGCGTGTAGCTGGCGGGCAGGCTCTGCGCCGGCGGCCCGAAGCCCGGCAGGCTCTGCAGCGCCGTGGCGCCCCCGCCCGGCAGCGGCGCCCCGAGCCACGACTCGAGCGGCAGCGCGCCCCCCGCCGGCCCGCCGCCGCCGCCGCCGCCGCCGCCCGGGCCCGCCCCGAGGGGCGCCAGAGCCGCCGACGGCGGGGAGCGGCTGAACGAGAGCAGCGGCGAGTCCTGCAGCTTCATGGACGACACCTCCAGCTTCTCCTGCCGCCGCCACTTGGCCCGTCGGTTCTGGAACCACACCTGCGGAGGGCAGCAAGGCGGCCGTCGGGCTGCGGCCGAGCTCGGGGCGCACCCCGCCCTGCTCCCGGGCAGCCCGGCCGGGCCGCGGCGACTCCCCCCCCCACGCTCCCCTTCCCTTTCCACCCCGTTTCCACCTTGTTGCCCCTTGCCTGCTCTCGTTTCCTCGGAGTCCCTTTCTCCCATCTTCTTCGTCCCCCCCCCCCCCCCCCGCCCCTGCACACCTCACCCGCAGCTGCGGTTGTTCTCTACTTTGACTCCTGGCACCCAGCGGGCGCTCCGAAAACAAACAAATAAATAGATGAAATTTAAAAATGAAGCTAACTTTGGGAATCGAACTAGCATTTTGGAAAGCAGGCCTCACCAAATTTCGGGGACCTGCTGGCTGGGCTCCGGCACTTCGGGTTAGTGGCCCCGAGCCACTTCCTCCCTGTATGGCTCAGCTCTCGCTGGCTGTGATTTTGGCTCAGACTTTCTGTGCTTTACCTGTTTTTGTCTCTATGATAAACATAGACATAGGTATAGACAAATACTCTAAGAACCCTGACTGGCAGCACTGGATGGTAACATACAGCGATTTCCAGGAATTACTGGGTATGAGAACTAGTAGGAAAAAAAAAAAGTGGGTTTATTTTATTCCAAGCTTATTTGAGCTGCTGCTTTCATAAGATCTTCCTTCTTCTTTTATTGATATCCCTTTGGTATTTCCTTTTTTTAAAGTGATTTTTAAAGAAATTTATTCATGAGAGACACAGAGAGAGGCAGAGACATAGAGGGAGAAGCAGGGGGCCTGATTGGGGGCTCCATCTGGGACCCAGGGATCGCACCCTGAGCTGAAGGCAGAGGCTCAACCGCTGAGCCAACCAGATATCCTCCCCCCCTTTTTAAAAGTCCTTTAGTATTTCTGATATTTCTTATAAATGGTTCTCAGTGAGTAGAGGAGTTCAAGTTTATTATATTTACGTTGAGTTTTTTTGGAGTCAATTTTGACATTAAGATTAGTTCAATGAGTTCGAGTTTTTCTTTTTCTTTTCTTTACACATAGAAAGTCTGCACCAAGAGTGAAGTCTGGTCTCTTAATGATGAAAACGTCCATTACTGATTTGGTAAAAGCACAAGAAAAAAGGTGTGATTAAGGTGGTGACCAAGTTATCACCCTTGGAAACAGAACCGGTCTAGTTTAGCAGAAAATCTAAAAGAACTTTGACCAAACTGGTGGCTTCAGTGTTAGACAAATGGAAGGAAATAGGGGAGTAGCTGAGACCTTAGGAGGGAGAAGGCAGTTTTGAGTGGGGGTGGGGGGGTGGGGACGGATCTCCCAGCGCCTGGGCAGAGCAGGGCAAGTGTGTGTAAGGCTAGGATTTGGGGGAAACAGAGAACAAAAAAGTGAATACCCTGCCCACCTTGCCACAAAGGATTCATCCCCATAGCCGAGACCCCAATTTCCCCCAGAAACATTAGATATCTGCCGATAATAGAGAAAAGAGAAATATTAGCTTGGAAAAGGCTCCCATCCCACTGCTTCCTCCAATTCCCTGCATGCCCCATCCGGCCCCCAAAATACTGGCCAGAGTCTTCCACCCAGTATTCAAAGTCAGAGAGTTAAAGACTGGGATAGTCCGCTCTTACGGGCTGTACTGCTGCCCTCTACACAGTTGGAGGTCCACAGTAGACCCCTCCACCCCGTCTGATTACATCATAGCCATGTGTTAAGAACCCGCCATATGCTGGGCACTGTGCTGGCCCTGTGGTCACAGAGAAGTAACATACACTGTTCTCAAGAAGCTGACAACGTAGAGGAGGAGCCAAAATCCCTAAACAAATAAAGAGGGAGGAAGGAACATAGGACGGAGGTGGTAAGAAGTGTGACGGCAGCCCCTGCCCTGGCTGTGCCTGTATTCTGTAGGGGCACCGGGAGGCTTTGTCTCTCCTCTCCCTTCATCTTTCACTGGTGTTCTTTTCTTACTCCGTACTCCATCCTCTCCCCTTGAAAAGCAGGTACTAAAATGTCCGCACCTTCAATGCAACCATTGCAGTTCTACTGCCCCAAAGTCAGAGAAATTGAACTGTCCTTGCAAATTAATCCTGAGTTACATTATGGAACTATACGTTAAAACTACGACATTTACTCATTACTTTAAACCCCTTATTACTTTAATAAGCAGAAGAGACAAAAGGCAAAAGTTTGTCTCCCCTTTTACCTTTAAGGTAAGGCTAAAAAGTCCCCAAACATCTGAATATCTTCACTTCCTGGAAATATAATTCATTAGACACGCACAAAAATCCCATCTTCGTTCCACCGCCTTTCAGATGCAATGAAATTTGTTCCCAATGACTCCCTTTCAGGCCTCTGTAAACTCTCCTAATTTGGAAATCCTCCCAGATTTTTCACAGATGACTAGCAAATATTTAAGGCTTTCAAATATTTTAATGATCAGGGATTAAAGATAATTCAGCTTTAATTAAAGAGAAAACCCCTTTACAGAAAAGAAGAAGAAGAAGAAGAAGAAGAAGAAGAAGAAGAAGAAGAAGAAAGAACGAAAAGAAGAGAAGAGAAAAGGCCTCTCTGCTGCAGCGGGAAGTTTGGTTGGATGTGCACCAAAGAAGCAAAAGTCAATTTCTTAAGCAAATCCACCAAAATTTGCAACTGCAGGCGCCAGGGCCCTTGCAAGAAGACTGGGTTTTCGTTTCTCGACAGGATGGGCGCAGTTAGCGACTAGGGTGGCATTTGGGGCCCCAATCCCGGAGGCTGCCTACATCCCGTCCGGCTGTGTCTAACGAGCCGTCGCTCTTCATCTTTCCAGCCATTTCTGAGTCTCCTCTTTAGTTAAGAAAAAGGAGACCCCCTTTCTGTTCCAACGGGGGCATTGGGACAGAATGTCCAAGAGGGCGGTGCTGGGGCGCGCGCAAGGTGGCTGACGCTCCTCCGCGGCTCTGGGCGAGCCGGGTCGAGGCAGACGGATGGGTGGGAAGGGTGCCACGGTACACGCGTGGACGCCCGGGGACCCAGGGAGCACTGGCTGCAGCGCGGGCCTCGGGCCTTCCCGGGGACCCATGTGGGCGCTTTACCTGGACCCGGACTTCGGGTAGGTTGACCTTGCCGGCCAGCTCCTCGCGGCTGTACACGTCGGGGTAGTGAGACTTCTCGAACGCGCGTTCCAGCTCGTGCAGCTGGTACGTGGTGAAGGTCGTGCGGTTCCGCCGGTGCTTCTTCTTGGGCTGCTCCTCCTCCGACAGCTTCGCGTCACCGGTGGCGGGCCCGACCGGCAGCCCGGGGCTCGGCCGTGCCTCGCCGGGCTCCTTGGGGCAATAGGGCCGAGGGGCTGGGACCAAGGGGCCCCAGGCGGTCAGAGTCACTCCGGAGCATTCCTGGGCCCACTGCGCCCGTCGTGCGCGCCGGCAGCGGGACACGCGCTCCTCCCGGGGGCCGGGCCAGGAGGTCGGGGGAAGGCCGTGCGGGGCCCCCAAGACTTCTCCCACCGCAAACTGCACCCTAACCCCGACTCCGCGTCCAAACCCCTTCCTGGAAGGTAAGGCAGGGGCTTATTCCCCTTGCGGAGCTCCCAAGTCTGGGCGCCCCTCGGGGCCCCGCAGCCGCCAGGGATGCGCACTCACCTTCGTACTCCGGGGCCGGCGCCGGGGCCGGCTGCGGGGAGGGCTCGCCGCTGCCCCCGGGCGCCTTGGGGCAGGCGGCCCGCGCGCCCGGCCTCCTCTCCCGCTCCTTCGCGCCCCGGGCGCCCGGCTCCGGCGAGAAGGAGCCGAGGATCCCGTCATCCTTGGTAAATCCCAGGATAGCCTCGATGCTGTGCAGCCGCGAGCTGCTCCCTCCCGGGCTGCGGAGCAGGTGGCCGGCCAGCGAGAAGCTGCCGTCGGCCATGGCGGGGGCGCAGCCCGGCAGGTGCATGGGGAGCGCCGGCCGGCGGGAGGGCGCGGCCCGCTCCGGGACCCAGAGAAGAGCCGGCGCGGCCCGGGTCCCGCCGCCCCACCCGCGGGGTCCGACCCCGGGTCAAGCTTCGCGGGGGGCGCGGGCCGGGGCTGCGCGCACCGGGAGGCGGGGGCGGAGGCGGAGGCGGAGGCGGAGGCGGGCGAGCGCTCGGGCCGCTGCGGCCTGCGTCTGCGGAGCCTGGAGGGGGGACTCGGGGCAGCCGGGGCGCGGGGGGCTAAAGGCGGCGAGCCCGCGAGCCCCGGCTCCTCCCCTCGGCCGGGCCCAGCCCCCTCCCGCGGCCCCTCCCCCGGCTGCGGGGCGGGTCTTTCCGTCCCAGCCTCGGGGGCCCGGTCCGCCCCGAACTTCCCACCTTCCGCCTCCCGATCCGCTCCTAGCGCGTCCGGGGAGAGCGGCGGGGGGTCCGGCCGGCCTGGGACCGGCTCCGGGCCTGCGTCCTCCGTCCGGCCTCGGGGGCCCACGCCCTCGGTCTCACCCCCCCCCCCGGGACCCCTGGGCTTCCCCCGTGTCGGGCCGCCTCCCCCATCGCTCTCCCACCCCCGACCGCCTCTGCCCTCGGGCTCGCCTGCTCCGCACGGACGGCCCCCGGCGCTAGGCCCTGGGAAGCCGGGCCACGCGCGCTCCTTCCCGGTTTGACCCTCCCTACCGTCCCCCGCTTAACCTCCAAGGGCGCTCCTCTTTGGGCTCCGTAGGCTGAAGCCTGGGACTTCGGGTTTATTTTGTTTGTCTAGGTATTTTTGACTGCTCCCCCCCCCCCCCGTCCTCGCGCGCCGCAGCCCCCTCACCCGACCGCTGGCGGGAGACTGGGAGGCCCCAGTCGGACTTCGGGCTCTGGGGTGGGGGCGTGGGGCACACCCTCCTGGGGTCCCTGAGCTCACGTTGCGCAGGAACCGACTCCCCACCAGAGTCTCCAGGCCCAGGAGATGTCCCAGCCTCAGGCTGACTGTGCAAGGACCTCGGTCTCGGTCTCGGGTGAAGGCCTCGCACTTTTCCAGGATGTGTGTGTTGGGGGGGGTGGTGCTATAAGCCTAATCTGCTTGCATTTCTTTCCACTTTGGGAGCCCCACGAGGCTTCCGTGTTGCAGGGGGAGTCACAGGCCAGGTGGAATGATGGTTAGTGCAGGCAAGTGTTTTTTCACCACTGCCAGCGCTGTGATGGGCTCTCAAACCTGAAGCCAGAGACCCGAGGCCCCCGGTCCACCCTCACTAAACTATTAGCGGGAACCGGGAACCAAAATGCCCCCCTAAGAGTCTGAGGACCTACAGGCTTCTTCCCCTCCCCCCCAATCTTATTGTGATATAATTGACATACAGCGCTGGGTAAGCTTAAGACGTATAGTATAATGATTTGGCTCATATGTGTGGTGAAATAATTACCACACTAAGTGTACATCCACCATCTCACACAGATACAAAATAGAGATTTTTTAAAATGTCCCCTGCAGAAGCTCTGATCTCAGCTCTCAGCACTGGGACATCTCTCCCACCCCACCCCACCCCACCCCATCAGTTTATTTCTGCTTGCATTCAGACAAGGATTTACTGCCTCCCTTCTGAGGGTCCTGCACTCATGTGGACCATGCTAGCACCACAAAAGAAAAGAAAGGCTGGGCGCTGGCCTTGAGGAGTTTAACGTCCAGCCTGGGAGATAAGACAAAGGAAGAAACAAGACAAAAACCCTTATCTTCCAAGCCTGGCCTTTATTTAATTTTTTTTAAAGTTTATTTATTTAAATAATCTCTATACCCAACGTGGGGCTGGAACTCACAACCTCATGAGATCAAGTGCTGCATGCTTTTGGGACTGAGCCAGCCAGGTGCCCCCAATCCTCATCTTTAAATTGGTGTTGGGCACATTCCAAAGGACATGTGGCTACATTAAGGATCGCAGAATGATCGATTTTCTGTGACAGGCAAATGGGAGTGGTCATTACACAAATCATTCTATTGTTTAGTAGACCTATAAAGGGATAAATTAAAATAGCTAGCAGGAGGCTTTGCAGTAGATAGAATTTGAGCCGCTGATTCAAGTTGAGAAGTTACATTTTATTTTAAAGATTTGTTTGTTTTTATTTGAGAGAGAGAAAGCCTGAGCATGGTGGAGGGGGAGCAGTGCAGAGGGAGAGGGAGAGAGGGAAACTCAAGTAGACTGAGCTAGGAGCTGGTCACTGGCTGCATCCCAGGACACTGAGATCATGACCTGGGCCAAAATCAAGAGTCGGATGCTGAACTGACTGAGTCACCCAGGTGCCCCAGAAGTTATGTTTTACTTTAAGAAAAAGCTACAATAATGATAATCGATATGCACTTTATGGTTTTTGCATTATCCTTTCACACTCTTCCCATCACAGGATCCTCACAATTCTGTGAGGTGAGCAGGGCAATATTTGTCCCCATTTTATGGAAGAGGAAACTGAGGCTCTGTATGATGTAAAGCGGAGGGGTCAGGACTAGAACCCAGACCACAGGACTCCTTGTTCAGCGTCTTCTGTCTACGGCTCGTTGGTAATAAGTGTTGTAGAGCCTGATGTTTTAGAAAAGAATAAAAGCACATCTTAGCCTGCAGTCCATCCTTAATCCTTCCTGGAGACTGGAGGCCGCATCTAAGAGGCTGAGATAATGGCAGCTTAGCTTCCCCAAGAAATGAAGTCCGAGCCTGTAGACAGTGGCCTTTGGGGCGCTGGTGTCTGGGAACACGGAACAAATCCTTGGGAGCTTCCCCCCACAGTCCAAGCAAAGCCTGTGCCTGGGACCCTGAGGCTTTCTAGGCTGTCAGAGGCACTGTCCCTGCAATACCACTGTCTGGTGGGATCCCCACCATGTCCCAAATGCGAGTTGCACAGACCTGCTGGCTGAGATGCTAATGCCTTGGTGACCAGAGGGCAGCCATAGAGATAGCTGATTGGTGTTTGCTGTTTCCCCCTTGACCAAGAATGCTTTTTATGTAAACTTCCCCAATATTAAATTGATCTCCATAATCACTGCTAAACAAAGATTGGCAGTGTTTTCTTAAGCTTCTGCCCACACGCTAAGGGGCTTAGAGCCTTGTTTTCTAAAGTTAATTCCCTCTGGGACTGCCCAGCTCTCCCTAATAGGTCCAGGTGAGGTTAGCTTTTATTTACTGTTTATTTCAGAGTCTTGAGAGAAAAGCAGAAAAGACTTCAACAGCCACTGATGAGGGACTTGGGGTAGGGAGGAGGGAAACAGGGCAAAGAGGGACAAGGGGAGGTTGGGGCTTCCTTTGTGCGGGACATAAAGAGCTAGTCAATGCCATTGTGGGCACGGTGGAGGGTACTCCAAGCAATCAGCCGGGGGTCATTGTTAGGGGCTAATCTACATGTGTATTTCCCAAGAACTCGATTAGGGAAGATGAATGGACTCGGCCATGTCCCTAATTCTAGCATGAAGCCGCATTTTTCTAGCAGTGACGCCAGCTCATAATCAGCCCAACTTCAGCAACAGTAAGGAGCCTGCCTTCTGAACTCCACCTCTGTTTAATTCATTAATTCATTAGGTGGATCAAAGAAAAATCCCTCCTCCCAGCCCCCACATGCAGGCTGAACCTAGACATAGCTAAAGCCCCCTTAAGTTTGGCATGGCTTAGAGACACATTTCCAGAAGGGCGGAGAGCAGGGTGGTCACGGCTTGGGACGGTCTGCAGGGTGGGAGGTTCCACGTGATGTGGGAAGGACGATATCAAAGAGTAATTGAAGTGGGGTGGGGTGGAGGGAAGATTTTGAGGAGAAAGGGAATAGAGACAGGCTGGTATGAAGAAATGAAATCTAAATGTCACCAGCAGTTATGGAAAGCTGTAATGTAAAGTGGCTCTGTTGTCTTGGATGGATTCGGGAAGTCCCATTTCTGGAAGCGTTCTAGGGGGACTGCTTCCTCCAGAACACTCTTGCAAGAAATGGGGGCACTTGCAGAGTGAGTGCCTTGCACCCTGGGTGAGCGGGTGGCCTGTTCACAAACTAAACTTTTGCGTTTGACCATGGCTTCTAGTCATTTCACCTTGAGGCGATGTTTTAGGTTTTGGCAAAAAGTGTTTCTTTAAGGGCCTATGTGTTACCACGTCATAAAGTGTGTAAAACCAACTCTGTCATCTGCATGTAGACGCTTCCCTTTAACAGATTTTTATCCTGGAATAACTCCACCTGTTTCAGATCACGCTCCTCCTAGCTCATATGTGTTCTTCAAGGGAAGGCAACTTTAGTTGTAGCCAAAACCCATATAAACATAAAACACACGTACACAGTGAAGTTCAACAATTTCAGTTTCAAGGGTTAAATATATTTCCTGAATGCTTCCACTATGCCAGTGGGCACACTTCTGAACACTTTATGTGGATTACCTAATTAGTCTTCACCGTAACCCTCCGACATAGTCAATATTCATTTTATAGACAAGGAATCTGAAACACAGGTTAAATCACTTGCCAAGGTTGTACAGGTGGTTTTAGGTGGAATCAGGAAATAGGTGTTTTTTTAGGAACATGTCTGTCTAACTACCATGTGTACTACCTCCCAATAAATACGGTGTGTTTACGTGCTACACATCGTGAATTTTCTCTTGGCTGTGAGAGAACTAGCAGATAAGAACATCTGGGAATCAAAGGATATAGGAATACTATGGTTCAGAGTCTGGGTGATGTGAAAAAATTGTGCTGGGCAGTTTACAATTTATTTGGTCAATTATAATGATGACAGAGATGCTTTAAAAATTTAATAAAGTATACCATTCAACTTCCCAAGCCTGTCCCATAAAGTTCAGGGAATCTTCTCTCTGTTCCCAGAGCTCCAGTTTGTTCACAGTTGTTCGTGAACTATCTATCATCTATCTATCTATCCTATATATATTTATTTGTATATTTATATATACTTATATATATAAATATATATATATTTAAATATTGATTTCTTTATTTGAGAGCGAGTGAACAAGAGCAGGAAAAAGAGCAGAGGG